TTTTTCATTCAGCCGTTGACTTCTCTACCGGAGAAGACTCAGTGACCATATTCGAGCTGCAGAAAGAGTTTAATTCACCGGGAAAATCGCCTCGTCTTTCAAGGTTGACTAATACTTATTATTTCTTTATATCTACTTTACTGAAATATGTATCAACAAATGCTAATCATTTGCTTAATTGCTTTATAACAGCGAGTTTTACACCGGTTGGCTCACACATTGGGGAGAGAACATTGCAAGTACAGATGCAAATTTTACAGCTGCTAACTTAGAAAAGATTTTTTCAAACAACGGTTCGGCTGTTCTATACGTATGTGCCTTTATCGCTCGAACCTTTTCAATTTTACTGAAAAAAATCACAATTTATTCTAACTCTATTACATGTGGCCTTCGATATTAGATGGCGCATGGTGGGACCAATTTTGGATTTTATAGTGGTGCCAACACTGGATCGAGCGAGTCGGATTACAAGGCTGATCTTACATCCTATGACTATGTGAGGACTATAAGCCTGAAAAAAAAAAAAAAATAGTTTGAGTAAATTAAACTAACCTCCCTGGATTAAGGGATATTTGATACTTTTTTGCCCATTGAACTTCTTTCGTTTTCACTTCACCTCCGTAAAGAAAATTACTCGTGCCTGTGAATGATACAATGTGAAATGGCTCAGAATGCAAAAGGGGTGTAAAGTGAAACAAAGATAAATTTTGGGGGGTTTGGTGTGATTTACAGAAATAACTATCAGCGCTTACTGTATATATACATACTCCTTTGTCGACTCATATGTTTCTCTAGGATGCACCTATTAGAGAATCTGGTGACGTGGACAACGAAAAGTACAAAGGTAGATAAATATAATAATTAAAAAAAAAAAATCTCATGAAAATTTGTATCCACTTTATAAGAAGCATACGGTATCTATTAGCAATCCTAAATTGTAACCATTTTATAATATGAATTCTTCCATATTGTTTCCCATTTTTTTTTATTTTTTTTTATTTTTTTTTGTCAAAGATGATATGCATTGTTTTTTCAGCTCTTAGGAGTGTCATTGCCAAGTATAGTACCGAGCCTCTCCCTCCTATTCCTCCCGATAATGAAAAGATAGCTTATGGACATATTAAGCTCGATCGAGTTTCATTTTTGTTCAATACAATCACTGCAAGAGACCTTATCGCTGCGGTTGAGTATGAGAACCCAATATCAATGGAAGCATTTGGACAGGTTATTTTTAAATAAGCAATCTTTCTATATCTATAATTCTTAAAAGTGCTAATAATTATGTTTATGGTTGAAAAGTTCTTGTTTGTCTGATTTTTTCTTTCTTTTCTTTCTCAGATGTTTGGTTTAGTGTTGTATGTGTCTGATTACACCTCAAATGACAATGGTAATGTGTTACAAATACCAAAGGTAAACACATCATTTGACAAATGTGCGTGTAATGCGGTTATTTTTGTCATGTCAGTGGGCTTGTTTCATGACACACACACACACACACATATATATATATATAAACTCGTTTATTGCAGGTTCATGATAGAGCTCAAGTGTTCGTTTATTGCCCCGAGTATAGAGGGAAAAGACCCACATTTGTTAATGTCATCACAAGATGGTCTAATAGACCTATCAACCTTCCTTATTTAAAATGTGAATCCAAGTGTAGATTATTTATCTTGGTACGAACGCCTTTTTTTATTTCTTTACAAGAAATCTCTCTCCGAGATTTAAAGTTAGATTATTTGTCTTGATTGTGTAATTCTCTAGTGCCTATGCAGGTTGAAAATATGGGTCGTTTGAATTATGGGCCATATATATTCGACAGGAAGGTAAAATGATCCCTTAACTAGCAGTTTTTATTTGTACTAATATATACCGTGTTAGAGTATTTCAAAATGAATAAAAGGTTATGGGCAATATCCTCCATAATTTACATCATTTTTCTTTCTCTTCACATTGTGAGATTCTTTCTTATGGGTTGTTTGATCTTTTTAGGGTATTTTATCTTCTGTTTATCTCGATGAACAACCTCTGTATAAGTGGAAAACACTTCCGGTTTCTTTTCAAAAACCGAGTCAAGTCAAAAAGGCTGACCCGATCATTCCGAATGATGAGGTGAAGGAATTCGTTCAAGCATCTGCTCGTAAAAAATTACGAAATACGAGTTAAGTCCTATGAGGTGACCATTTGTTGTATAGATGTAAAAAAAATTATGAAATTACTTAGTAGTGAGCTTTTTGTTTCTCCTTTTTGCAGAGCTTAGTATCGAGCCGGCATTTTATTCTGGTCAATTTGAAGTTGATAAAGTGGGAGATACGTACTTATCATTCGGAGGTTGGAGTAAAGGAGTTGCATTCGTGAATGATGTAAATGTTGGTCGTTTTTGGCCGGTAAAATCTCTTTTTTGAAACACTATTTCGACATCTTTAATAGTAAAATCTGAACGATGTAAATGTTGGCTCGTTTTTTGCAGTCTGTTGGGCCACAATGCAGCCTTTATGTTCCTGCTCCAATCCTCCGGCAAGGAAATAATACCTTGGTATGATTATGATTCACCGGAATTAAAGCTTTCAACTTCCGGCAAAAATTGTATTCTTCCTTTTTTTTTTCAGGCACAATACTTATTATGTCACGAATAGGGCATCAAACAAACCGAGCGGCTCTTTAGCGCTCGAGTCAAAGCTGGGCTCGAGCTCGAGCGGCTCGAGCATGTTATCGAGTCGATCTCGAGCATAGATTTTGAAAGGTTGAGTATGTAGTTGAAATATCCCTTATATATAAATATTACAATATATTGTATATGTACTTAAATATTTTATATATGTACTTAATGGTAATTTTACTCGAAATTGGAGTTGAACTCGAGCTAAAAATTGGAGTCGAACTCGAGCCGAACTCGAGCCGAGCTCGAGCAACCTTTCGAGCATTTTGATTTCAATCGATCTTGAGCCGAGCTCGAGCAGTTGTCTTCTTTTGTCGAGTCGATCTAGAGCAGGTAAAAAAAAAATTCAATCTCGCTCGATAAGACCAATGCTCGACTCGGCTTGGCTCGTCTACAGCCCTAGTCGCGACACAAGTCACCAGCCGATTTATTGAGACAAATTAGGATTTTGCTTTTGAATCGACAAAATCAGGTCATCCTAGAGCTAGAAACAGCAAGCCCTGATCTCTTCGTGAGGTCGGTTGAAAATGCAGACTTCAGCTGCGCTCCAAGAAGTTCAGAACTTGGTAAATCGAGTCAACAAGGCTTGATCATTTCGTAATGGGATTTAGCGCGGGAAGCAAAAACGGAGCAAATCAATTTGAAGCATAAAAGTTTACGAGTTCTTTGTAGTGTGGGTTTGTGTGTGAAAAAAGAACAAATTTCCAGCATTGTATTTACTTGACTTACGAGTTCTTTGCAGTGTGGGTTTGTGTGTGAAAAAGAACAATTTTCCAGCATTGTATTTACTTGACATATGAGATGATTTGTTAAAAGAAACAGACTTGCTTGTGAACCCGACCCGACTCTTTACAATTTTTTATGTATTTGTTATAATTTTGATCGTTAATATTGATAAATGAACCGAGCACGAAAGAGAACAAATGATCGAAAATTCAATTTGGAGACAAAAAATAAGGATATAGAGAAGACCGACTATAGTTAACACTTAACACTAACCAGTTACAAAGAAGATTTTATAAATAAAAAAATAATACAAATAAAAATGAAATTTTTTTCTGTTCCTAATCACGTTTTATACCAAATCAATTCAAATTAAACTGAAGAAACCATAACAACATTGAACTCCAGTACAAAACATAAAGATGATCTATTTTAGCACTGTAACCTCAACACATAAATGCAGCAAACAAAAAACACACCATCTCAAAACTACTCCTAAGAATAAAGAGAGTTTTTGTGCCCCTTTTTTACCATTTATTTTTCATTTTTTATTTTCTGAAATAGTCTTCATTTGGAAGATTCACTCGAGACAGCATTCGGATAATCCTGTTTAGGTCCCGAGACTGCAGCAGTTGCAGCAGCAGTAACTGCAGCTGCAGCAGCTCCGAGCTTTACTCCACCGGCAGCTTTCATTGCCCCTCCAATTTTAGCAAAGGCGGCAATTCCTCCCACGAGCATAGCCCTTAATGCGACCGTTGGTTTTATTGACATAATTTAATCACAAAACCTGCAAAAAAGTGTTTTGTCAGTTCAATGCCACATAAAACCACCCGAATAGAAATTTACGGAAATAGAAGACATTTAGGCTATGTTTGGTAAACTTGTAGCTTTTAAGTGAATTTCGAGCTTATAGCTGATAGTTTATGACTTGTGACTGAAAAGCTAGCTTAAAAGATGATAAAAGTGTTTCGTAAAATTAGATGATAAGAAATAAAAGATTTCAATAGGCTTATTTGAAAAGCTACCCAATGAAGCTTATGAGATAAGCTCGAGCTTTTTAAAAAAGTTCATCCTACTAAACCAAACTTATTTGAATACGGGAAACTTGTAAATTAATCAAATAAGCTATATGCTAGCTTATATGCTTACCAAACACAACCTAAAATTACAAGGAACCCCTGCAAACTGTAGTCACATCAACAAACATGGGGAACCGTAGTGTGTATTAATGTTAGACGTAACACAAGCATTAATCATAAAGTAATCATAGGCACTGTTTATTTAATAATTTAAGTAGACCTCACAGATAGATTTCATAATTAATGTGTGAAGTATTAGTAAGTTACGCCAAAAGGATAATGTTTAAATATTTTTTTTTTCACTATGACACTATCAATCGCACATCTTATTATAACACGAAAAATTTTAGTCATACCTCCTACATCTTATAACACACATAAACCTGCTAAAAAAGAATATTAAGCTCATAACATTAAGCAATGATGCTTTTCTTGTGAGCGAAAAGCTCGATGGATGATAGAGTTTGTTTAACTTGGAACTTCCATCTTCATAGGAAAATGTAAAAAAGTTCCTAACATATGTTCAATGCTCTCTAACATATTACATATTTCATTAGTGTAAGCACTCCCCCAAAAACACCATCAAAACTACAAGATGGAAAATGAACTTTTATGGCCCAATTCACGCACACAAAAACAACTTCTAAGATGATTCGAAAAAACTACAATTGATTTTGACCAGCCTTCAAAAGGATCATAAACCAATCAACAATATCATGAAAATCTCTCTCTCTCTCTCTCTCTCTCTCTCTCTCTCTCTCTCTCGTTTTCATTTCTATATAATTGACATCGAGGTATGTAAGAAAAGTATATGGCAAGAAGGAACACTAAGTGCTCGACAATCGAAACAATTCCTCTAACATGAAAATATCTCTAGATGAGCAAGATTTATAAATAAAAAATCATATCTATGTAAGAAGTTTCCAACACAAACAACTTCAACTCACAACGCAATCCATATATGCGCCTTTCAACGCACAACAATCCAAGCAAAGTCTATATGAGGAACCAAACAACGAACCCTAGAAACAAATTGACAGCGGAAATCCCAAATGCTAAACAGCCCAAGATTATAACTATTGCATTCCTTCACAATTCTCCCATTCAATACAAACAAATTTAACGATCCACACACCACCTAAGCCTTAACCCAAGCTTTATCTGCAGACCCTTTTGCCAGAATTAAGCCGTGGATGTTACAAAAACAGTAACTGCTCACTCGATTTGGATTTAACCAAAAAAAAAAAAGCGAACTTTATGATAGAGAGATGAAGAAATAAGAAGCAAAGCAGAGCCCAGAAAATTAACCTCGATTTAAAGCTCGAAATCTTGCCTATGGAGCTCCCGCTGGTACGAATCGAAGGAGCCTTTCGAAGGTGAGGGCCGGGCCGTCTCTCAAGGCTGCTCTTTTTTAACTCGGAAAAATTTTATTATAAAGAACTTATTGATATTGTATCAATTTTAAAGCTTGAATTTATTTATTTTTTTAATAAAAAGAGGAATATTTTAGGTCAATAATCCACACCTACCCATGATAGACACATATTAATATGTTCACTGTTTATGTGGTATCCACACATGGTGATGTTAATATCTTAAAAAAAATACATCACCAATGTGTGCATGCCACATAAACGGTGAGCATATTAACATGTGTCTATCGTGGATAGGGGAGCATTATTATTCTCAATTTAAAACTCACTTGTTAATTAATTTTTCATTATAAGGCCTAATTAACTTTATATTTTTATAAATATGTGAACCAATTTAGTTTATATTTTACATATTATAACAAATATCTTTAGTAATATTTACTTAATAATAAAGCGAAACTATATAAATTATATATATGAAAAGGTTTAATCATGAATAATTTAAAAAAAATAATAAGTGAATTCAAAAAATATGTAATGGAAATATTATTTATATTAATAATATAAATATGTAATAAAACTAAAAAGTAATATATAAATGCAATCTACAAAAATATATCATTTTCAACAATAAATGACACAGTATCAACGTTTGATTCCAAAAAAAGAAAAGTTAAAATCCTGAAAAGCTAAATGAAAACAATATTTTTTAGTTTTATTACATGTTTAGTTTATTAATGAAAATAGTATTTTAATTGCATATTTTTAAAATTATCAATTTTAAACAATAATTAATATTAAAATTTTGCATCATTGTAATTTATATAGTTTCATTTTTTTATTAATATAATTTACTATTGATATTTTTTTTTAGTATAAGTATGTAAAATATAAATTACAAAAATAATAATAATAATAATAATAATAATAATAATACTTTTATTCACATGATAGTTGTTTTACATAGTTGTACGAAAAAAGTAAAGTTAATTGGACCTTACAGTGGAAAGTTAACTAAAAATTAAGCCTTAAAGTGAAAATAACCTAAAATATAAGAATTATGTTGAAAAGGTATAAAATTCATGTCTTAAATTAATACAATTACTAAAAGTTAGGTCTTCCAATACAATTTTCCCTTTTTGAACTCTGTCCAAAAAGAAATGTGTTTGTATAATAAACGCTAAAAAAATGGAACAATAAGAAAATATAAATATTAAAGTCCATTTATTTACATAAATGGGATATTTTATATTGGATAATATAAGCCACAGCATTTTGAAAAATGGAGTTGAAGAGTCTATATACTTATGTATGATATAATGTAAACTTATGTCCCTTTTGTGTAATATAAAATTAGCTCTTATTACATATTCAGATATTAAAAATAGAATCATACATAAATCATTCATAAATGAGTCGTAAACAAAAAATAGTGTAATTTCAAAACTAATAGTTAAAATGAAGCACAAATCAACCAATTATTAACATCAATTATTATATAATTGCATTTGAAAATAAAAATTTCATAAATGTACCAATTGATACAAATTTGTAAGTAAATGATGTAATTTTATCTAAAAACCATCTAAAGGCTTATCTCAAGCTAACTAATCACCACATGAGCCCATACTAATATTAATAAGATGTTGCCCAGCCCAATAAAACATTATGGGCCAGCCCATGAGGTCCCTCGATCGACGTCGTTTTTGGTCTTCTTCTCCTTTTCAATGGCTCATGGCTGAACTGAAACAAAACAAAAAAAGGAAAGTACAGAGCAAGCAACAAGGCAACAGTAATGGAGCATTTTGGGGCAGGAGGAAGCTGGGGAATGATCCCCAACATGGAGCCCCACAGTAACCCCGCTACTCCCCCCAATCAAGACCATCTATTTCTCCCACAACAACAGCAGCCCCAATTCAATCACCACCAACAACAATTTCAACAGCAATTCAATCCGCAGCCGCCGCAATCGCAGCCGCAGCCGCGTTTTCAAAATCAACCGCCGCCGCCGGCGACACAGCAGCAGCATCAGCACCAGTCTCTGGCCTCTCACTTTCATCTCCTCCATGTGATGAATCGACCCCCCCTTTTCGCCTTAATCTTTTACTACTTTTGTGTAGTTTCGCAGTTCTTTTGACGGGAAATTTAGGGTTTTTTTATTGCTTTTAATTTTGATTTTGTGTTGTAAATTAATTCTTCTTGTAATTTTCAGCTGGTCGAGAATTTGGCCGATGTGACTGAAAATGGGACGAGGGATCAGCAAGCGGATGCGCTGGTTGGTGATGATTTTGGTTCTTTGTCGGTTGATCATTGTTTTTAATCTTTTTTTTTTTAGCTTAGCCGAATTTCTTGTGTACTTTCTTGCTAGCTATGTTTTTTGTGTGTGATGTGTGTGTATGTGTGTGCTGGTGAAGGTTGCCGAGTTGAACACACAGTTCGAAAAGTGCCAGCAGCTGTTGAACTCCATAGGGGGAACGATTAAGGCCAAATCCACGGTACGTTCTATGGATTTGCTTTCCGTTTTCTGGAAATGCGAAAAAGTGGGATGGGCATCACATTCCAATCTTTGCTGATGTAGTTTTGATGAGATAGGGACATGAATATGGTTAGATAAGATAATCATCACATTGCAACATGTTTGAATCGAATAATATTTCGGACGTTGAGATTGTTTTATGAGAACATTATTTTGTGGGTTTTGAATAAAGTTTTGTCTTTAGAAAATCCCATACTTCTCCTCTTATCAAACTTGGTGTGTGTTGTTTTGTTTTGGACCAGAACTGATCTAAAGGTGTTTCTAAACCACATCAAAATCATTTGATGGGAAGATACTAAGATGCTGCAAAGGAAAAAATCTCTTGAACCGTGTGAAGTTTTGTATTTCGAGTGAAGTAATTATATGGGATTATACGAGTTACTATACCTAGGATCTAATGTGTGGAGGGATGTCATTTTTTGGCTACTGAAATGCTTCAGAGAAAAAATCTCTTGAACCGTGTGAAGTTTTGTATTTCGAGTGAAGTAATTACATGGGATTATATGAGTTACTATACCTTTGTACTAATGTCTGAAAGGATTTAGTTTTTGACTGATATTTTGTTGTTGATAGACTGTTGGGGAGCAAAAGCGCAAGCTGGAGGAAACTGAAAACTTACTGGCTCAAAGGAGGTTTGCACTTTTATAATTATATTCTCAAAAAACTCTAAACAGACAACTCATGCTCTGGAAAGTACACTAGCCTGCGCTGATATTTCCATTGAAAAATATGATATTAAGAAAAAAGAAAGAGAGAGAGAGAGAGAGAGAGAGAGAGAGAGA